TATCATAATTAATTAAAAAAAATAAATTAATAAAATATCAATCAAAATATATATCCTTCACAAAGTTATACGTGACTATAAGTAACACGTCTCTATTTCAAGGCTAAAAAATGGTAGGGTAAATTTAGAAATAGTCTTAAATGTTTAAAGTTACTTACAAAATAATCATAAAACCTTTAGAAATGACAAAAATAATCTCATGCATTTGAAAACGATGTCAATCTGGTCCTCTCCGTTAATTTGAAGCGTTAACTAAGACAGTTGAATAAAAAAAAATTTAATGAAAGTCGTAAAATTTTAGATTCTTGATTAATGCAGACTGTAAAACTTCCTTCTCGAATGCGTTGCAACGCACCACACACCAGCAGTCTTCACTCTGAGAGGCGATAAATTCACGGCAATGGCTGGTGGTTCAAAGAAACGGAGGCGAGGTATGTATTCAAATGGGATTGGAACCCTTTCAAGTTTCTCTTCAATTTGTGGTTTCTCATTCAATTGCTCTCTGAATTTTGAAATGCCTTTTTCCTTTTGGGTTCCAACAGTTTGTACCCAAAAGAAATTGACCATCTTTTTTTTTTTTTTAGGTGAGAAGAGAAGGGGGAAAGGAAACACGAAAAAGAAGGGATCACTCCTTTGAATGTAAAGCATTGGCTTCAAAGATACAAACTTTTCTCCAGACATGATGAGGGTCTTAGAATGGACGAGGAAGGATGGTATTCTGTTACTCCCGAAGAGATTGCAATTGGGCATGCGGAGAGGTGTGGTGGGGGACTTGTCATTGACTGCTTTTCGGGTGTGGGCGGCACTGCCATCCAATTTGCTAGATTGTAAGTCCCTCCCGCTGAATGTAACTGAAGAGTGAGACTTCAGCTACTTGCTTTTTCAATAAAAGTTAATTTGTGGTATGTGTTGTTGTATAGGTTATAATAAGTTTTGGTGATTAGGAGTTTCCTATTGTCCTTAATAACTGGAATAGATTGAGGTAACATTGGACTGCTTACTTGCAACTTGCTATTATCTAGTTCATGAATTTTCTTGATATTTTGGTTGTGTCTAGATTCTTCTATCCTGTGGATAGCTGAGTCGGACTGGGATAGTTTAAAGGATGCACCTTGGTTACATTATCTTTTACACTGTTTTTGGTTGGAGGGAGCAGAGAAACTTGTTTACAGCCACTATTCTAAGCATTCAAAGTTATCATTTTATCCTTATCTAGAGTATGCTATGCATATCAGGTATGAGGATGGAGTTGTGAGGTAAATTAAAATTTCCTTTGTATGCAAAAGGATGAAAGGTACAAGTTGTTTTC